AAGGATTGATGGCCCTTCTAACTGAAAACATCCTGCAAATTTGGAGACTTGAAACTGGCAAGAGCAGGAAGGGGAAGGGAACAGAAATAGGCAATTATTAGGTACTTACTATATGCCAGGTACCATGCTAAGGCTTTTTAAATATTATCTCCTTTGATCCTCACAAGAACCCTGAGAGGTATGTGTGATTTACAGTTGAGGAAACTGAGACAGACAGAGGCAAAGTGACTTGCCCTAGGTCACACAGATAGTAAGTGTCTGGAAAAAAGAGGGACAAGGGGAAAAAATACTTTGTCCAGGTTTATAGTACTTTGGGAAAAGAAGTAAACTGAATAGTTAATGTAGAGGTGAAGTAAGTAATTTTAGTATACCATGTGAATTGAAGGGCCTGGAAAGACTCCATCTTATCCTAGAGTCATCCTCCCTTACCATCTGTCCTGAAATCTCTATCAATCAGTCAATCCACTAGCATTTATGATATAAGGACAAAAGTGAAACTAATCCCTGTCCTTGAGAAGTTTACAGTTTAGCTAGAGAGACCACACAGCCAGAAAGTTCTATGCTTTTGTATAGATACAAGATGGCTTTGGGAGGGAGAACGTAGCCACTGGTCATTAGGAGGAGCTTCATATAGATGCTTGAAATGAGTTTTGAAGCAAAGTGAGGATTCTAAGATGCAAAACTGAGAAAGGTGCACACTTCAGAAATGGGAGACAGCCAGCACTAAGGCACAGGAGATGGAGTGCCCTGAATGAGAAATAGGTAGTAGTAGTAAGGCTAATTTGGATGGACTATAGTGCATTCAGAGGCTGGAAAGCCAGATTGGGAATGCCTTTAAATGACAGAGAAGTTTGTATTTGATCCTAGAAGTAATAAGGAGCCACTGAAGTTTATTAAGTAGTGGAGTGACATGGTCAGATCTGTGCTTTAGGAAGATCACTTTGGTAGCTGTAAGGAGGATTGATTGGAAAAAGAAGAGACTTGAGGCCATTGCAGTGGTTCCAAAAGAAGGATGATAAGGGCCTGAACTACAATAGGGTGGAGGCTTATGTATGACTAACCTAGGTGAATCAACCAAGGTGGTAGCACTGTCTCTAGAAGGTAATTGCTAAAGTGCATGTGATTCCTTTACATGCTTTTAAACTTTAATAACACGTTGTAGGTACAGTGGGAACAATCTGTGAATTATATCTAATAGCAAATTTCCTGAAGTTAAGACATCCACAGCACACTGTGTGATTATTTCAGATAGTTATACTTCAATAGAGTTTTGTGATATTATCAGTCTTCCTAATACTTCCTCCATAGATTAGTGATGAATGTATTGAATTACATTTAGGCATTTATCTACTGCTCTAAACTGCATATCACTTTTTAAATGTAGATTAGATAGGAACAAATGCTATGTTTTGCTGTTTTGGTGAAAGTTCTAGTTTTATTTTTAAAAAAAATACTTCAACGGAGCTAGGATATAGATATTCCTCCCAGTGGTACTGATTGACAAGCATCCATCTTTTCTTTTGTGCAATGATGGATCATATCCTTCAGTCAGTCTTTGATAAAGGATCTACTCAAGGGACTAGAGACCTTCCTCTGGGCTCTTTGATACTCATAGGTTTCAATAAACACTCAGGCTCTCCATTTCATCCTTTGTTCACGCAACATGACTTATCCACTAGTCTTTTCTAATCATTCATGTCCTTGATAATATCTTTTGCACCACTCTTTGCAAGTCAATTTTGGCAATATACTGCAACATACTTGTACCTACCATTGCCACCTAATTGCATGTAATTGAGGGCCATAGAGCACAGGGCTTGGAGAGGGAAAGACTAGACCCTCAGATACTTATTGGCTGTGTGGCACTGGGCAAGACATGTTACCATTTTCAGCCTCAGTTTCTTCCTCTATGAAAAAGGCCCTTAGCTCACACGGTTGTTGTGAGATCAAATGAGATAACATTTAAAGGACTGCATAAACTCCAGCAGTTATGATTCTGAGATTGTGTCATTCTACAATTGGCGGGTATAAAGGATAACTGAGAAACCTGTGGTGTTGCTATGGTGGCAGGGAGAATGACTGACCAAAGATGGTTATTCATGAAGAAAGGGCAAACTGTGCTCTATGGGTTATGACTGGTGGAAGTGAAGTCCTTCTTGGCTTGGGGAATATTTGCCCTTTCTTATCACAGAATTTAGAGTGGTAAGGGACCTCTCAGACATCATTTAGTTCAACTTTCTCATTTTACAGAGCAGAAAAGAGAGGCCAAGAGAAAGGCAATGATTAGTTCAGGGTCATGCAGCCCATCAGCAGCAGAAAGAAGATTCAACAGGTCCTCCACTTCCTGAGTCAGGATTCTTCCACTGCACCACACTGACATAACAAACTAAGCAGTGAAGGCTCGAGAGTTCAGAGTTATGAAAGCCAATGACTCTACGAGGAGTTTATGAAGCCATTGCCCATAACCTCAGAGCGGAGGGAGAGCCCTCTGGCCTTGCTCCCTCGGGATCTTAGCTGGGCAAATTTATCAGATTTGCTAAGTGTCCCTTGGGAAGGCACTGTCTTCCTGACCCAAGCAGATGAGACGAAGTGACTTTCCTCAGGGGAGGCCTTAGCAGGCAGGAGGGTTGAACACCAAGGACAGCAGCGAGGCAACACAGGCTTCTCCATCACCACAGTTTTCTCTGGTTCTTCCTTTTCTTTATGCTCTAAAGCTTGGAGAGCTCTAGACCAGGAAGGCTCTTCTGGAGCCACTGGAATTGATTTATTAGTTGTCATTTTTTTTTCTCCTTCTGTCATGGAAATGCACAGGAACCAAAGGGTAGAGTATCTGATCAATGGTGAATTTTCTTCTTCAGCCTGAAGAACATATCTAAGGAATCCCATGCATCATCCCCTGCAACTAAGCAAAACCTTGATCTCCAATTTTTAACTTGGCAGGCCTTACTCAGGCCTCTCTTGGGAAGGTTTCTATCACAGAGGATGCGTGGCTGGACTTTGGGATCATTCCCCTTAATGACATTATAATTTGCTTCCATTAAATTTTGAATGTTCTCATCCATAGAGGCAATTTAGGCTCAATGTCAGGAACAACTTCTTGAAATCAGAGCTGCCCAAAAGTGAAATGGACTGCCTCAAGAAGTAAGGGGCTCCTCCCTCACTGGAGGTCTTTAAGAAGAGGCTGGTTGATCAATTGTCAGGTATGTCAGGGATAGTATTCCTTTTGTGTATGGACTGGACTGTTTGGCTGTTGAGGTCCCATCTAACCCTGAAATTCTGTGGCAATTTTGCAGAGCGAAAAAAGTGCCTTTGTAACTGGCCATTTTGATAAAGAACAATTAGTAAATTAATGAAATAGCTTCTGATTACACTGAAAACAAGTCACAGTATTTATTTAATGTTTTTATTATGATAAATTCAATACCTGTTGAGAAAAATAATCAAATAAACATATTCTATGGCCCAGCGCCTCTAGCTTTGCTGTTACATGGACCGTATTTGATCTTGGGGGACTTCTCACAAAATCAGATCTCTTTGGCTCATACCCCCACCCAAAGTTGCTCTCTTGGCAAACTCAGAAGCATTTGGATGATGCCAAGCCATCTAGAGATGTGGGCAAAAAGGGCCTCTGGCACCCAGTTAAGCAGAATTCAAGCTATTGGATGGTATTTAATCTCACTCCAGAAAAAGAGTACAAAAGAAAGCAAACAAACCCCACAAAATATTCACTATGGCCATAAATACTTATTACAGTTTCCCCTTCCTTCTATGTTATAGAATCTGTGTTAAGTTTCCCCTTCCATCCTCTACCCTCAATTGACCTATGTTCACAGATCCATAGCACTAGTCTGTGGTTTACAGTTTCGGGGGGAGGAATGAATTTGTGGTGAACTGGAAGTCAATCAATCAACATTTTTTAAAGTACCGACTATGTGCCAACCACTGGGGTAAGTGCTGGAGATACAAATAATAACCTCAAAAGACAGTCCCTGCCCTCAAGGAGCTCACAGTCTAATGGGGAAGCCAACAAGCAAACAAATATATACAAATAAGTCATATACAGAATAAATAGGAAATGATTAACAGAGGGAAGGCACTACAATTAAGAAGGTTTGGGAAAGACTTGTTGCAGAAGATGGGATTCTTATTGGGACTTAAAGGAAACCAGGAAAGGCAGGGGGCAGAGATGAGGAGGACAAACATTCCAGGTATGGGGAGACAGCGAGAGAAAATGCCTGGAGCCCTGAGATGGAGTGTCCTGTTCCAGGAGCAGCAAGGTCAGTGTCAGTGGATTGAAGAGTACAGGGAGTAAGACATAAGAAGACTGGAAAGGTAAGAGGAAGCTAGGTTTTGAAGGACTTTGAATGCCAAACAGAGCATTTTGTATTTGATCCTGGAGTTCACAGGGAGCCACTGGCATTAAAGATATCAGCATGACTTAGAAGAGAGACAACAATCAATCGAATGTCTATATAGCAATGGTTTTAAACAAATAAATGGAGGCATCCCCTGTTCAAGGACCCAGAGATGTTGCTCCTTGGAGGCTTCGTGAAACACTAAATGCTAGACGTGGATTTAGAGCTGGAAGGGACCTCAGAGGTCTTGGAAATAGAGACCTAAAGAGATTCAGTGACTTGTCCAAGGTCATATAGATAGTATGTAGTAGGACCAGAATTTAAATCCAGGTCTTCTGACTCCACTTCTGGTATTCTTTCTACTTGATCACATTGACACTAAGAAGCAGTGATCAGAATGGTAGCACTGGAAGGTTCCATCTTTTCCTCATTTTACTAATAAACACCTCATTGGGGCACTAAAAACCTTCTATTTCTTATTTATTTATGTTTTGTAGGCCCAGAAATAAGGAATTCTTGTTTTGCTAGAGAGAGGTTGCTGGTGCACAGTTTCTTTGGCCTGGCTGGGCTCTGTGAGTCCCAGACTTTAGTCTATTTTGCAGATTTTGCACTCCTCTTTTTTTCCCCTTCTAAATGGAATGCAAGCGGCCAGAGTCTGGAAGGGTTTCCTGGATGGAGAGGTTTTGATTACAGCTGCCTTAAGAAGTCGAGCTCTCTCCAGCTTGCTGCCATTCCATTCCATCACACACTAGGAGGAGGAACAGCAACATGGGGTTCCAAGGAATCTATCTACTCCTGTGCTTCTTCATCCTCTTCCCAGGGACAAGCACAGAGACACCAACCCCCAAAATAAAAAAGGCAGCCAATGCCAAGAAAGGTAAGGATGGGCCTTCCAGCCTGCCCCTCTCTTCCAGGAAGATGAGTTAGCAGTTGGGCATGAAGCCTCACCTTTTATCCTCTAGTGCTCATTTTATTTCCTTAGGTAATAGATGTTTTGTATATTTGACTTCTTAGCTGAGCTAAAAAGAAGGGGAGGACCAGGTTCCTGGGCAATGGAATAGGGAAATTCCTGGAAAAGTGGATTCCACTACGAGCCCTGGAGAAAGGCACAGTATTGAGCGTGGTTGAGAGGTAGCTCAGTATTGTTATGATAGATCCGGGTTTGAATCCCATCTTCTGCAGAAGACCTTCCCTGGTCCCTCCCATCTTCTCTCACCCCCAGGGTCTTCCTTCTGAGCTTACCTCCCATTTACACCATATATCTTGCCTGTACATAATTCTTTGGATGTTGTCTCCTCGGTTAGAATGTAAGCTCCTTGAGGGCAGAGACTGTATTTTTGCCTTCCTTTTTAGCCCTGGCGCTTAGCACACAGCAGGCATTTAAAAATGCTTGTTGACTGACCACTGACCCATACTGGCTGTGTAACCACGGTCATTTAACCTCTTAGCGCCCCAGACCACTGTCTAAGATTATGAGTTACTCCTCTAGGGCTGCCCTTAAAAAACAAAAACAAAAACACAACCCAAACCCATGGTAACCTACTACATGTTTAATATGACTAACATAGCTCAAGAAGGGCATAATTCTTGAAATTCAAAAAAGAAACTACTGGCTTTCTATTGCCTATTCTGTGGTTTGGGGAGGATGGTTGTTTTTTCCCTCCTGTTTTAAGCTTTGGTGAGGCTTATCTGATAACAGTGACAGTATTTGAAATTAGGGGGGAGTTTTCTTCTTGGGATGGCTAAGAGAGGCTTCACTTGGCTGGAGCTCTTCCCCTATTCCCTCGGCTGTCGTTGAGGATGCTTTGGCTAAGAATTAGGGCTCTCTTCCTCCAGCTCCACAGCCAGCGTCATCTGGCCGAGGGCCATCACAATCTTCTGTTTGTGGCAACAGAAGCTCAATGCCATGGAAATGAACTGATGTTACCAACTAGGGCAGGAGCCAAGGGAATCTGAGCAGGGGGAGGGTGGGGTCTCCGGCCGAGAAAAATGCCTGCCATGACAAGTAAACATGAGGGAGCAAGGAGAGCAGGCGGGGTGGGGAAGGTCACATGCAAAGAAAAGGGAAGGGGGTGTTTGTAAATGCTACTGCCTTTCTCTGCACTTCAGTTTCTCCATCGAGAAAATAAGGGGCTTGGCCTGGACGGGCACTTAGGTCCCCTCCAACTCTTAATATTGTCTGTTCTCTCTATAATATACAGATAACCTTTTATGGTTTACAAAGGTGACTTGTGCCTGCTTCGCTATCTTTTCTGTCTCTGAGGCAGGGGAGGTGGCTATCCACCATCCCCCCAAGTCTGTCTAACATAGAGTGACTAGCATTCATTGAGCACCTGCTATGTGCCAGGCACTGTGCTAAGTGCTGGGGATACAAAGAAAGGCATAAGATATTCCCTGTCCTCAGGGAGGTCACAGTCTAATGAGCAGCTTGTAAGGCAACAAAGGTGGTAAAAGATGGAATACCAATAACAGCCAGTACTTATATGGTGCTTTAAAGTTCACACATGCTGAGATGGAAGTATGGAAAATCTGGGTTCAGATCCACACTCAGACACTCACTAGCTGTGATCCTGGGCATATCACTAACCTCCATCTACCTCAGTTTCTTCATCTGTAAAATAGGGATAGTAATACTACTTTGCAGCCAGGGTTGTTCTCAGGATGAAACGAGATGACGTTTATAAAGCACTTCACAAATCTTAAAGCTTTATATAAATGCTAGCTATTATTATGATGATTATTACAGGTTAGAGACCACTTCTCACAAAAAGCCTTTCCTGATTTCCCTGATTACAGTGCTCTCCCTTCACCTAAATCACTCTGAATTTACTCTTAATATGTTTTTTCTGTGTTTAAGTTAGTCCCTCCCAAGAGAATGTAAACTACTTGAAGGCAGGAACTTTTTTTTTAATCTTTATAGCCCCAAGGCCTAAGAGAGGCACTCAGTAAGCACCTGCTAAATTGAATTCTTTTTATCTCCACTTTACAGATGAGAAAACTGAAGCTCAGAGAGGTTAAGTGAATGAATAAATGCATGAAAGAGCATTTATTAAGTGTTTACTATGTGCCAAGCACTGTGCTAAACTCTGGAGATAGAAATACCAAAGCAAAAACTGTTCCTGACTTCAACTGAGTTTCCACCTGTACATATCTTATATGTACCTTGTATTGACATATTGTATCCTCTTTTACAAGATATATTTCTTAATAGCAGGGACTGGGTTTTTTTTTGTTTGTTTGTTGGTTTGTTTTTTAATTTTGTCTCTCTCGTGCTTACACATTGCATTTCACAGTGCCTGGCACATAGTAAGCAGTTAATAAATGCTCATTGACTAACTGCCAAATGTTCTAATGGGGAGGCCACCCATGTAAGATGCCACACATGGTGGGCAGGGAGGGGTAATTTGGCTCAGAAAGTTACAGAGGTGGCGAGTGGGATCATTGACTAGATTGCCGTATCCCATTTAGGAGTGAAAGAGGAGGGAGCCTTGTCCACAATCACCCAGCTAGTAAGTGAGCCAGCTGGGATTCAAATCTAGGTCTCTCCTGATTCTCAGTATAGTACTCGGCTCACTACAGACTGCTATCTAGAAGGAACAGGGAGGGATCCCTGAGCACAAGAAAGAAGTGCCCCCACCTAACTGCTGAGAACTCCCTTGGGGCTCTTCCAAGCTGAGAAGGAAGTGGAGGCCAATATAAAGTTAGAGCTTTGGCAATGATACCTGGAAACTGAGTCTAGGGCAAGGGAACCTCATTCTCACTGCTGGGCATGGACTAGTAATAAAGAGCCTCTGGGAAGAATGAGGCGGGCTGTGAGAGCCACCTACTATCCTGTTGGAGAACCCTACACCTGTACCATGCATCACCCACAGCCTTTCATCTTCCCGGCTTAGCATCCACGTAGACATTCTGGACCCAAGCTGCCATCACATGATGACTTGCACAGAATGTCAGACTGAAGTGGAGAGAAGGGCACCAGCCCCAAGAGAGTGGAAGATCCAGTGAGTTGTTTACAGAGAGCACAGATATAATCAGTAATTTTTTACCTAGCAAAAGTTGAATGAAACACATCTTAATTTAATTTGGAGGAGTAGGTGGAGAAGTAGAGGCAGAGACCCCATATTATCTCATTTGATCCTCAAGACAATCCTATGAAGTAGGTGCTGTTATTATCCCCATTTTGCAGATGAAGAAATGGAGGCTGAATGTCCAGGGTCCCACAGTTAGTAAATGTCCGAGGCAAGATTTAAACTTAGGTCTTCTTGGCTCCAAATCCAACACTCTGTCTGCTTTACCATCTAGCTGTCATCGTACCTACCTATTCTCACGAGGCTGCTCCCTGTCCCTATCCCTGGCCTTGGTAACTCTGTGCCAAGTCAGATGCTTCTGAGAAGCTGAAAGACCCCAAGTCCACCCTCTACCATTGCGCACCCTGGGACAAAGCCCTTGTCACACCCCCTCTCCTTCCCACATCCCCAAGCTGCAGCTGTGCCAAATAGATGGTTGCCTGCAGAGGAGGCTCTCCAAATACATTCTGCTCTCCAGTCCAAGCCAAGGGAGAGGAGGAGAAGAAGCCTTTCAGAGGTGTTCTCAAGAACAGTCTAAAAAACTTAAGATTGTTACGTGCAGCAAAAAAAATGCATTGGGTTGGAAGGCAGAGATCCAGACGTAGATCTAAATTCCAGTTCTAGAATTGCTGCCTGTGTGGCTTTGATTAAGTCATTTCCCTTCTCTGAGGCTCATCTGTAAACTGAAAGGCAGGGCTGGATTTAACATTGCTAGGAAAGGCTTCTTAACAAGGAGAGCTATCTAAAAGCAGAATGTCTTCACTTGAGGTTTGCAACCAAAGGCTGGATGACCACCTGTGGGAGACGCTACAGATGGAATTTTCAGGTAGACACGGATTTGACCAGGTCTTTTTTCAGTGACATAATCTCTAAGGTCCCTCCCAGCTCCAAATTCTATTATCGTCTATAAAATGATTGGAGACCATAGGTCAGGAATACATGTTTGATGTGGGAGCCACTGTAATGGGAATGAATAAAACAGCTACAATATAATAAGCCAATAGCTAAGTTCCAAAATCTGTGTAAAGTATAGGTAAAACTGCCAATTCCTGGTTAGCCTGATTCGTCATTTACAAAGGCAATTAGATCACTGACAAACCTTGGTGAGAGATCCATCATCATTGTGGTTATTGTCCAACCCCAGTCCCCAAGGCCATTTGGGCACCACACTTCCCATGCCCTAGCTCTCAATCTGAGATGGTAGGGATAAGGAAGGTCCCTCTGCCCCTGCAACTCCCAACCCCAATTTGACACACAGAAACCAAATTTTCACAAATAGGTTATTTTGCTTTCCTGGAGCAGGTGAACAGTAAGGTCTCCTGCTAGGATGCCAAACGATTCACATTTACACTAACGTGTGAAGCCATAATAACCTCAAGTGGGAAGAGAAGGAGAAGAGAAAGCTGGAGGGAACATTGAGTGAGAAAGGAATTAGCAGGGTGGTGGTTGGGCAGGGCCCTCATTGCTGGAATGAGTGGAGAGAAGATTCTCCCATCCCTGTGAAGTTCTGCAATTATTATCTCTTGACTCGTTCCTCAGAGCCTGTAAATACCAAGATGATAGAAGAGATGAAGAGCCAGCTGGACAGCTTGGCCCAGGATGTAGCTTTATTAAAGGAGCAGCAGGCCCTCCAGACAGGTAAGAAAGTACTTCCGGGAGCTGGCAGGGACCACCTGGTCAGCACACACTCTATCCATGGAAACAGGATTGAACCTAACAAATAGATGGTTGACCAGGGAACTCCCCTCCAGCCAGCAACAGGATGAACCAATCAGAAAGAGTCATGCTACAGAAAGCAGATACAAGTGGCTACACTTGGCTGGCTCTGTAGCCAAATGAATTGGGCATAGGTGAAGTCATTCTTTCCAGGCCTGATTTTTTCCTCAGATATTTTATAGCCAAAGCAACTCTTCTGTATTTTTCCCTTACTAGTTAGGGCTGGGCAGAGGGTAGGGCTGCCAGATGGCTGGCAGGATTTTATCACAGGAGTTAGTTGCTTCTTACTGACGTGTCATACTATAGCTATATAAAAAAATGTTTTATTGTTGGCAAGCCTAGCATGGGTGGAGGTGGAAGAGGTGCATGGAGAAAGTCATGCCAACAACAGCTTTGTAGGAATAATGCTGAGGGGGGCCTCCAGAGCACACAGAGGTACAGGGTTTGTTCCTGTAACACCTCAGGAGACCTCCAAGCTAAGAGGGGAGACAAGTGCAAGGAACTTGACCAGCAGTGTTTTAGTAGGGAGAAGAGGAATGAGGTATGGTCTGGGTCAGAGAACCCGGGTTCCAGGCCTGACTCTATTACTAGCTTGCTGCGCTCATGTGGCCTTGTTCATTTTACATGAGCAGTTTAGAGTCTCAGAAGGGCTTCAGAAAAGATTCAGGAAGGCCATTAGGACACAAAGCACCTAAATTTGATCATCTGGTGGTGGGGGCAGGGCAGACAGGGTAGGGGAGGTCAGAGGCTAGAGCTTCGGGCCTTGGCAGGAGGAGGAAGTGGGGCATTTCTGGTCCTTAGGACCATGGGCTTCCTACACTTACCTTCCCTAAGTTTTCTGCCTCACTTTTATTTGCGAGCAGTGTACGGGAGTGGGGGGGATGTACCTGTCACCTCCACTACCCAGTGACCCAGGAAGACCCAGGAACAAGTAATATCATTTTACTGAGACGAGGAGGTTTTCTCTATCAGGTGCCTCCAGATGGTTCCCATTGCTTAAGTCATAAACAAAGACTCTCTAAAGAACAGCTGGGTAATCAGATGGGGAAAGCCAGGAAGAGGCCAGTATGCACAGAGCAGAGGCAGCCTGCTGCAAGGAAGTATTACAGGTCTCCAAGAGGCCCCCAAACCAGCAAGTTTTCTGGATTTTCACAGCTTCTCTTTCCTTATCTTTAAAAGGAAGGGGTTAGACTAGGAATAATTGTTGCCCAATTGCCAATCCATGGATGAATGGATGCATGGAGGAATTTTTTAAAAAAAAAATTATTAAGCTTTTTTTGTGTGCTGGGCACTGTGCTAAGCACTAGGGTACAAATATAAGGAAGCAAGACAGTCCTTGCCATCAAGGAGCTTACATTTTAATAGGGGAAGACAATACATACATATAGGGAAATGGTGGCCAGGAAGAAGAAATCACAGGACTGGTGCTTGGAATCACAGAGTAACTGATTAACAGGAAGGGTAATGTTGATTGTTCAATATTAATACCTATTGCTCTACAAAACTTTTAATGCCAAAAATTGTTACTTTGAAAAACTTATTAACTGAAAAAAAATTATTTCTTTTCCCCCCTTCTCCCTGTGTCTGAGTCCTTCCACTCCTGGTTCCCTCATCCCCCTTGGTAGGGGCTGTTCCCCTGACTCCCCTTTTCTCCCCCCCCCGCCTCCGCAACAGTTCTCCTACAAGTGCAGAGAGCAAAGAATTCTGTAACAAATTTAAATATCATAACCCATGGTATAGTTTGGGCTATACCTAGTTCAGGTGATGTCTAAGTGTATTGAGGGACAGTGTGATACAGGGGATGTGATACCATCTATCTTTCATCTATCTCCATCTGTCTGTCTGTCTGTCTGTCTGTCTATCTATCTATTCACCTACTACCTATGTACAGAACCCATTTTGGTCTTCAGGGATATCAGAAAATTAGAGAATCTCATATTTGAAGGGATCTCAGCGATGATCAAATCCAATCCATACTAGACCAAGAATCCCCACTAAACTACTCCCCAGCCAGTAGTGATCTAGCATTCTAGATCTAGTGAAGAGGAAACTGTCCCATTTTTTGACAGATCTCCTTGTCAGGAAATTTTGGCTTGATAACCATAGTAAATCTGCCCCCCTTGCAACTTCTGCTCATGGCACTGAGTTCAACCCTTTGGATGAAGCTGAATAAATCCAATCTCTCTCCCACATGACAAACGTTCAGTCTCCTAGTGGATGTTCTGGTATCTGAGTGACCCGAAGATGCCTTGCACATACATAGCAAGCACTAGACAAATAATTATTAAGTGAAGAAATTAAGACAGGCCTGCTTGCTGGGTGGGGTAGATCCTGTTGATTTCAGGTCCCTGAGAATCCTTTTTTTTTTTTTTCCCTAGTTTGCCTAAAGGGCACCAAGATCCACCTGAAGTGCTTTCTGGCCTTCCCTCAGGCCAAGACCTATCACGAGGCCAGTGAGGACTGCATCTCTCGTGGGGGCACCCTCAGTACTCCGCAGAATGTCGATGAGAATAACTCCCTCTACGAATACTTACACAAGGGCATAGGCACCGAGGCAGAGATCTGGCTTGGCCTCAATGACATGGCAACTGAAGGCAACTGGGTGGACATGACGGGCAGCAAGATCAGCTACAAGAACTGGGAGACAGAGATCACCACCCAGCCAGACGGTGGGAAGGTGGAGAACTGTGCTGTCATGTCCGGGGTGGCTATGGGCAAGTGGTTTGATAAGCGGTGCAAAGAGCGGCTGCCCTTCATTTGCCAGTTTATGATTGTGTAGCTTCCTGGTGCGGCAGGGAGGGCAGGGGAAGAAAGAAGTGTGAGACGAATGCTGCTCAAATAGGCCTTGGGTGGCATGCTCAGCCCCAAGGAGACTCTCTAGCCTCTGTAGATGACCTGTTTGCCAATAAAATCACTGCCGCTTGGTAAGCCCATGGTTTGGTCCATGACTGAGTCTGGTGAGTGGGGAGGTCAAATCATAAAGGACTGGAAAGGATACCTATTCCACCAAGTGACAGAAGTCTCTATGCAGACCAAGTAGGTGTGGCGGCCATATTCTCTGCACCCAAATCCGGGGTATCTGGTCAGACAAAACCTATTCCTTTTTCAAAGTAGGATTAAAAGTGTTCTCTAGACTTAAAATAAGTTTCTTGAGGGCAGGGGCTGTCTGCCTGTATCTGTACTCCCAGCTCAGTGCAGTGCCTGGCACATAATAAATGCTTGTTGATCTGACTTTCTTTTCTTGATGTGGGGAGTCAGTCCTAAGAAACCTGAGATGTACGGCTACTGTAACACAAAGCACATGCAGGACAGAGAGGACAGCGGAAGGGTGGGTATTAAAGGTACGCTAGGAATGAAACATTATTTATAAATGTTATGAAGAGCATTAGAGAGTATGGGGATTAAACTCTGTACTGGGGAACCACAAACACACCTGATATAAATGCCACATGGGGAAGGAGGAGAGAAGAGGGAAAGGGGGGAAGCGTGTGTGTGTGTGTGTGTGTGTGTGTGTGTGTGTGTGTGTTGGAATTTTTTATCTTAGAATCTTGTAAGGCTGCTTTCTTCTAGATCCCCCCCACCCCGACTCAAGATTCATGCACTAGGGTCAGAATCTAGTGTGGGAAGCCTTCTCTCTGTTCCTGAAAACTCTGGTCTAAGATCAGTCAAATCTGATCCTTTGACCAGCTGAAGGCAGATCTTCTCTACCTCCTGTTCATAGAATCAAGGCTGTCCTTAAAGGTCCAAATCCTGCAAGGTAGGATTTGGAAACTTGAATCCTGCTTCTTCTTCTTCCCTCCCTCTTGCTCCTCTCCTAAATTCTTCCCTGTGAAAAAGCCCAGTCTAGTTCTTCTTCCTTTGTGAAACTTTGATCATATCTCTCTCTTCCCCACCCTTTCCCTCTTCCTCCTTTCTCTCTCCCCCCTCTCACCTTTTTCTTTTTCCATCTCTGTCTCTCCCTCCCTCCCACCTGACAATTATCCTTTTGTATTTCTGACTCTTATGGAGTACTGGATGGACAGCCAGCCTCAGAGCTAGGAATGCCTGGGCTCAAGTCTTCCCTCTGACACATAATGGCTATGTGACCCTGGATAAGTCACTTAACATCTCCCTGCCCTGGCTAGTCTCTAAGTTGCAGTGAAGGTGCCAATCTGTTCTGGGAGTTCCCTATACCAATGATATCATAAGTCCAGTCTCCAGTCCTATCTCTATTATCCTAATTAAATTAAAGCCTTTCATAGACCCCAGTTAGGCTTAGCACAATGGGCTGCAGATAGTAAGTGCCCAATAACCATCTATCTATTTGCCAACTGATTTGAGGGTCACTGCGTAAATGTCAGCTCTGTTATTGGCAGGCTTTATGCACGGGTGATGAGGGAGGATGGCAGCTTTCAAATGATTAGGAGAGCAGGAAGACTGGAACTACAACCTCACTTGGTACGTCTTTCAGTGTATAAATCAGAAACTATTAAGAGGTAGCCAATGGTGTCTTAAACCTCATGACACATCTCCATTATGCCTCTGGATAATTTCATAAAAATTATAAAAATCTGCCCCATATCAACCAACCAAATGAAGTTGCTTGCATTAATGTCTTGTCAACAGAAGGTGGTGATGTTGACGTTCAAGTTCCCATTCCTCCCTCTACCTCCAGTTGTTCTTAAGCTTGGGAACCTTTAAGCTTTCTCTATCTTATAATGACTCTGATTTTTTTAAAAAACAAAAGTAAAAACAGCACCATGATCCCCATGCCCCCAGTCCCCTAAAACATATAACACACATAAATCCCCACACAACTTCTTTGCTTGCAAGAATTCCTGACTGGGCATAAGAATGCAGCTAATGTTTGTTTCCATTTCTCATGGCCAAAGTAGTAAAACCATTTAAAAAAAATATTTTTTCTCAATTACATGTAAAAACAATTTTTAACATTCGTTTTTAAAAATTTTGAGTTCCAAATTCTCTCCCTCCCTCTTTGCCTCCCTCCTCTGAGATGGCATGTAATTTGATACATTATACATGTGCAGTCATGCAAAACATATTTCCTTATTAGTCATATTGTCAGAGAAGACACAGACCAAAAAAGCCTCCACAAAAAAAATTAAGTGAAAAATAGTATGCTGCAACCTGCATTCAGATTCCATCAGTTCTTTCTCTTGATATGGATGGCATTTTTTCATCATGAGTCCTTTGGTACTGTCTTGGATCACTGTATTGCTGAGAAGCGCTAGGGAAGGGGTGGGGAACCTGGGGCCTTGAGGTCAATGTGGCCTCCTAGATCCTTGGGTGCCACCTTTTGACTGAGTCCAAATTTTACAGAACAAATCCCTTTTACAAAAGGGATTTGTTCTGTGAAGTTTGGATTCAGTCAAAGGGTCACACTTGAGGATCTATGGGGCCACATGTGGCCTTAAGGCTGCAGGTTCCTGCCCCCCATAAGTCATTCACAGTTGCTCATTATACAGTATTGCTGTTACTGTGTACAGTGATCTTCTGGTGGTACAGCCATTTTCCATTTGGATTTTAAGGCACTGTTCTTCCTGTCCTCATCTCTTCCTCCTCCCATTACCTCTCCTGTGCCCTTATCCTTCTCTTCCTTTCTAAGATGATCATTCCTAAAGAATGAGAGTCAATATTGAAAGGAGCCTCAAGGACACACAACCTGTAGGTGGACCTCTGCCATGTTCCCTGCCCCCAGTGAGTGGTCATCTGGCATCTACTTCACTGAAGAAGCAGGGGGGAAGAGGGTCAGAACATTTCAGGAGCTGGTCCAGGTTTCACTGAGCTATGAAACAGAGATAAGGATATTTCTACTATTTGCCCCACAGGGTTGTGAGGCAAGCCACTTTGTAAACTTTAAGACATTATTTCATTCTCAATTAGTATGAATAGTTATATGCCCAAAGCTCCATCTTTAGTGAAGTGAAAAATTAATCTGGATTTTTTAAGGTTCTGTCCAAGCTAGTGGTTTAAAAAAAATTTTTTTTAATCTTTAGGCAATGGGGGTTAAGTGACTTACCCAGGGTCACACAGCTAGTAAGTGTTATGTGTCTGAGGCCAGATTTGAACTCAGGTCCTTCTGAATTCAGGACCGGTGCTCTATCCACTGCGTTATCTAGCTTCCCCCCTAGCTAGTGTTTTTACCATGCATGTACTCAGTAGAAAAGTAACAATATAAGTCTAAAAACTGTAAGAACATGGATCCAGAGCAGGAAGGGATCTTGGAAACCATCTGAGACAAGAAAGAAGAGGAAACTGAGGCTCAGGAACTATATGTGACTTGTCCAAGGTCACATGGGTAATAAGGATCAGAAGTGGGATGTGAAAGCCTATCCTTTGAGGCCAGAGCCCTTTCCTTAGTGTGAATAAATACATCAGGTCCTTTCTCAGGACAGAAAACACACAGCAGCTAAGAATAGTGGAGATCCTGTAGGTAGGCAGGCATTGAAAGTTGGGGAATTAGAACAGGTAGCGAGGGGCCTTGACAAACCTGGGTTGCTTCTCAGTTTGGCTGAGTGCCTGCTATTGGCCTAGGACCGGACAGTCTTTCCAGGGATAATTCACTTATAAGCCGCACCTTTTACAGAAGAGCAGCAGGGAAGTTACATTACGAGATGAACTGTGGAAAGGAAGCCAATAACGCAAACATTCCCTGAAGGATTAAGTGTTGTGTGGCCAGTCTAAAGCAACTTCTGACTTTCACCACAAGGATGCGCTATCGCTTCATGCAAAGGGCAGGGAAACGCCATACTTCAGAGCAGGGATCACAGGCAGAGCTGAGGCTAGAACTCAGGTCCACCCTCCTCTCAGGTAAGTCAGTCTTCTCTCCAGGTCACCAGGACATCTTGTGCAGCCGCAGCTACTAGTTCAGGAACCCTTGTATTTCAAGTGCACTGAAGCTGTGACCTTCCCCAATAACCTACTGTTGAAACAAGATGGCTAATTTGCTAAGTGCCTTCTTAGGGGGAAAGATCATAGGAGAGACCCAAAAAGTCAATGAAGTTAGAGATTGTGCAAACTTGAATATGATGCAATCCAAGTCAGGTAACTTGATCAAAATAAGTTGGGAAATAGTTACTCTAGTATATCACTTGGTTTGACCAGGAAAACCTTTCATTAGATTTATGGCAGGTGAAAAAACTTGTCAAAGAGGTGGCAATGGCTTTTTAAACCACTGTGGGGTGGGGGTAGGGGGACAAAGATAACAAAAGAGGAAAAGGCACACTCATTCACTGGTGGTATTGTGAATTGATTTGACACTTCTGGAAAACAATCTGGAACTCTACCCCTCAAATTACTGAATTCTACATACTCTTTTATCTAATAATACTATTAGGTATGCCCTGCAAGGAAGGCAAAGACAGAGGGAAAGGACTCTCGTAAACAACATTTGTAACAGCTCTTCGTGTGGCAGCAAAGAAGTGGAAACAAACTAGGTGCCCCTCAGCTGGGGAATGGCTGAACAAACTGTGGTCTATGACTGTAATCAATTTTATTGCACTATAAGAAAAGATGACTATGATGGATTCAGAGGAATAGAGAAAGATTCATATGAACTATTGCAGAACAAAATGAGCAGAACCAGGAGAACAATTTACGTGATGACCACGATAAAAATATCACTCTGACTCAAGTAATTACTGCTTCAAAAGGCGAATGATGAAACATACTTCCCACCCCTTAGCAGAGAGGTAATAGACTACAAGTGCAGAGTGAGATATCATTCTCATACATGGCCAACATATTGATTTGTTTTGCCTACTATTTTTATCTGTTACAAGGAAGGGCTTCTACTGGGGAGGAAGGAAGGTGAATTAGTGGGTCGTGATATATGAAAAAGAAAGAATAAGGCCTTTTTAAGGCTATACAGAAAAATGGGCAGAAGGGTGTGGCACAGAGAACAACCGATACCACCTTGTTGATCTTAACAATA